AACCTCTAACCCCTATGCTCAAGTGATCCTCTTGCCTAAGCCTTCCTAGTAGCTGGTACTACAGGCACCCTCCACAACACCTGGCTGTTTTTTTTAGACACAGAGGGTCTCTCCCTTGATCAGGCTGGTCTCAAATTTGTGAGCTCAGGCAATCCACCTGCCTGTCTCCCAGAGTGCTAGGATTATAGCCATAAGCAACTCCACCAAGCCTTGAATGGCTTTCATTACTGTTGTTGCATGTTTTTGTGTCACGAGAATGTTGGAACTTGAATTAGAGCAATGAACAACAATTAAATTTCTGTTAAACCTGGCAAGAGTGGAAGTGAAATCAAGTCCAAATGCATGGGCATAATGTCTTGAAGAAAATGGCAGTGTACAAATGGTTAAAACATTTTTTTGAGGGAAGAGAAAATGTCACTGACGAAGAGAGGTCAGGGCAGCCGGTAATGAGCAGAACTTATGAAAACATTTCAAAAACTTGTTGAATTGTTTGTAAAAATTGTAGGCTGACTGTGAGAAGACCAAGCAAACGTCGACAGAGAAACAGTTAGGAAAATATTAACTGAAATCTTTGCATGAGGAAGGTGTGCGTCTTGCATCACTACAATGCACTAGTTCACATGGTACCATGAGGGAGGTTTTGGCCAGTAAACAAATAACTGTATCAGAGCACCTTCCCTACTCACCTGATTTGGATCCCAGTGACTTTTTTCTTTACCGGAAGATAAAGGAAATAAATATTGAAAGGAAGGCATTTTGATGACATTCAAGAACGCCAGGATAGTACAACAACTCTGATAGCCATTCCAGAAAGAGTTCCAAAATTGCTTGGAAGGGTGGACTAGGCAGTGATATCAGTGCATAACTTCCCAAGGGGAGTATGTTGAAGGTGACCATAGTGATATTCAGCAGTGAGGTATGTAGCAGTCTTTCTGGGATGAGTTTATAAACTTAATTGTCAGACCTCATATATCTCCTGACTCCAAATCCTACGTTCTTTCCACAATGACAGACTCTTTTAGCCTCAAAACCTTGCTTTGGGAACTTATTTTTCCACTCATCTTCAGTGACTCATTCATCATTCACTACCTATCTATCCCATCTATGTTCAAGGCATAATGATGTTTCTTTTGAAATCTCTCTTATAGTTAAGTTAGAAAATCCAAAATAGGAAAAAAAAAGAAAGAAAATCTAATGGAACGGTAGGAGGTACAGCATCCATCATACTAAGTATGTGTAATAAACCTGAAATAGTTAATATTAATAGTTAAATATTACACACAGGAAGAAATTAAAGGCATAGAATCATTCAATAATTTCCAAAAGTCAAGAACATAGTGAGTGGCAAAACTGGATTCAAATTCAAATATTTCTGATTTTAAGCTCTTGCCACTGTGCAACATTGCCAACCTTTTGCCTTCTTTTTGTACCTTAACTGTTACTATTTCTTTTTCTTTCCTTATTTTTTTTTTTGAGACAGAGCCTCACTATATTGCCCTCAGTAGAGTGCATGGCGTTACAGCTCACAGCAACCTCAAACTCTTGGGTTTAAGTGATTCTCTTGCCTCAGCCTCCAGGTGCCTGCCACAACACCCAACTATTTTTTTGTTGTAGTTGTCATTGTTGTTTAGCGGGCCTGGCTGTGTTTGAACCTGCCAGCCTGGTGTATGTGGCCAGTGCCCTAACCACAGAGCTATGGGGACCAAGACTATTTCTATTTCATTTCCCTCTTTCTATTCTCCTTCTTAACTTATTCTAACACGAGTATGAGCTCATACTCATGACATCAGTGTCTCAAGAGTATCTCTTTTCATGTTTTTTCCCGGCTTAAGAAATTATAATTGTTCTCTTCTGCTTAACAGATCAAGATCAAACTCTAATTTGACATTTAATCAAGACTGTCAGTGTGATTATTTATCTCTTACTAGCTGTGTGACTTGTATAGAAAGCAAGCAAAATGAGTTAATTTTTGCACAATGCATAGAACAACACTTAGGGTATAGTATGTATTAGCCATTATTATTAATAATTACTGAGAGGTAATAAAGCATCATGGTCACAGGGAAGGGTTTAGAGCCAGCGTGCCTTATCAGAATCTTTGCTCTGCCACTTAGTAGCTGAATATTTAACTTTAGGTAAATTGTTTTTCTCTCTAAGCATTAGTTTCTTTATCCATAAAAAAGAGATAAATAGGACCTGTCTTATGGTATTGTTGGGAGGATTAAATGAGTAAATATATATAAAGTACTTAAAACAGTGCCTGGTACATGGTAAGCATCCAATAAATTTTAGGAAGTATTATCATCATCATTATCTTTATCTTCTAACAATTCGTTTTTTTCTATTGCTTTTCAACACAAAGTCTTTAAACCAGGGGAAGTAACATTATTTTATATGTATAAATCATACAAGCTCATTCCTACTTCCATCCTGTTTAAACGCCCTCAACCTAGAATGAACCCACCTTTATACTGTCATCCATTCTTCTATTCCTGGGTATATCTACCTTTCTTCAGGATCCCATATCATTTTTTTAAATGATAATTCTTATGATACTCTTTCTCTAACTCTTCTTTTGCCTTTGATATAAAACTAGTATTTTTATTACAAGCTGTCTTATTTTTTTTTTCTTTTGCTTGCTTTTTTGTTTTGTTCCTCTGACTAGGTCTAAGTAATCCATTATTAAAAGTGAGTGAGCAGGCCTGGCACCTGTGGCTCAAGCGGCTGAGGCGCCAGCCACATACACCTAAGGTGGTGGGTTCGAGTCCCCAGCCCGGGCCCGCCAAACAACAATGATGGCTGCAACCAAAAAATGGCCAGGCTTTGTGGTGGGTGCCTGTAGTCCCAGCTACTTGGGAGGCAGAGGCAGGAGACTCGCTTGAGCCCAGGAGTTGGAGGTTGCTCTGAGCTGTGAAGCCATGGCACTCTATCCAGGGGGATAGCTTGAGGCTCCGTCTCAAAAAAAAAAAAAGTGAGTGAGCAGAAGGCATAAAAGGAAGAAACATCTCAGGGTAGATAGAAAGTTTGGAGGGAAGAAGGGATTGAGAGGTACCTTTGTAAATTTCTATTTATAGGAATATTAATTTTCATTTTTTCTATTGGTCAAAAGATTTGCCTAAATTTTGGTAGACAACAGGCAATAGATCTTGTTAGATGAAAAGGAATTAGATAGCAGTGCCCATAGCTAAGTTGGTAGGGTGCCAGCCACATGCTTAGGGGCTGGCGGGTTCGAATACCACCCGGGCTAACTACAATAACGACAACCACAACAACAAAATAGCTGGATGTTGTGGCGGGTGCCTGTAGTCTTAGCTACTTGGGAGGCTGAGGCAAGAGAATCTTTTAAGCCCAGGGATTTGAGGTTGCTGTGAGCTGTGACACCACAGCACTCTACCCAGGGAGACAGCTTGAGACTCTGTCTCAAAAAAAAAAAAAAAAAAAAAAAGAAAGAAAGAAAGAAAGAAAAGACAAGGAATCAGGCAAGAGAGCTAAATAATCATGCATTTGATACATATAGGGGAAAAGAATGTACCGTGTAAACCAGTAAAATATCTGGGAGACTGGAAAGGGTGGACTGCTAAAGGTCAGGAGTGTGAGACCAGCCTGAGCAAAAGTGAAACCCCCTCTCTACTAAAAATAGAAAAACTAGCCAGGCATCAGGGCAGGTACCGCTGGTCTCAGCTACTCAGGAGGCTAAGGTAAGAAGATCTCTTGAGTCATAGAGTTGAGGCTATTGTGAGCTAAGACACCAGGGCATTCTACCAGGGGTAAAAGAGTAAGACTTTGTCTCAAACAAAAAACTAGTAAAACAGATGAGCATGGTATGTAAAGAAGATAGTCTTTGGCTAAAGTTATGAAATATATGATTGAATACTTTTAGAGAATAAGATTAATCCATTTGTTTAATCATTTGATAAATATTTATTGAGCTTTACTATAGAGGTTAAGACATAAGACATACTGAAATCTAGGGATACAACAATAAGTAAAACAGACATGGTTCCTATCTTCACGGAGTTTACCAATAAATGAGAGAAATATTAAGCAAACAAAATTATAAATAATTATTTAATTATAAAGAAAAGGCCAGACAGGCTCGGAGCCTGTGGCTCAAATGGCTAAGGCGCCAGCCACATACACCTAAGGTGGCGGGTTTGAATCCA